AAGATTTCCCTATTGTTATGTAAATGCTTCACATTTTTGGTTAGCTCCTATCAAGAATGCTATGCCTTGTTAGTTTCAAGTAAATCCATTTGGTTTCAGATTTTTATCAGATGAATAGACAAAATTTATTGATTATCAGAATCTTTATTTTTTTTCATTTACAAAGAAGTACGGAGTTACAAAATACTTTTTGCTGTATGTGAATTTGCAAACTTATTTCAATCATTGGATTCATATGTTTGTATCTGTCTGGCTTCAGACTTTCTATTGTACTGATAAGCATAATACATACACAAAGAATGAATAATGCATTGTAGTACAAACCATAAATGTGACAATTATTCAGTAACTGAAGCACAAGTATCCTGCTTGGCCTCTTGTTATGGCTTAGTGTTTGCTGTTTATCCTAAATGTGACAAGGTTATCACTCAGAAATTCAGCGGAGAAATAGCTGTATTGTGCATTGTTCTGCAGCTACAGCAGCCATACTTCTAGGGCATATGACCTTGTCACTCTGAATCTCCTGCAGACATTTAAATCCCCCCCCCACCCCCTCCCGTGTCATGTTCCACCTTAACTCCATTAGTTTATATAAATGATGGTAAAGTAAACTGTAAGATAAATTTTGTTCTGTTGAAATGTATTTGAATTTTCCAGTTAATATTATTATACTTGCTGAAGAAGAGCATACATTCCTAAGAGTGAGGAAGAACTAACTCCAAGAGAGATCATGATTTTATATATTTCTATATATTTTACTGATTTTATATCCCCACTTAAATTAAATGCTAGTGATCGTGAAAGACACCAGCACCAGTGTTTTACTTTTTCCTTTCTTTTCTTTTCTTTCTTTACCAATATTTCAAGTTTGTTATGCCAGTAGAGTCAAGATTGAGCAAGGAAGTTTTTTTTTATTTTTTATTTTATTTTATTTTTTTTTTTTTTCATTACAGCTGATTTCAAGTAAAGAGGTAAAATATAAGTGGTGTGTGTGGGGGGGGGCAGGGGTGCATCCATGCACATAGATATATCCTTGATATATCTTTTGCTTGTGTGAGTTTGAATTTTGAATGAATGTGAATGATGACTTTATTTAAGGTAGCTAATATTATGAAAATAGTGTATTTAGTGCTTTTAACAGATCATGTATATGCTTAGTATCATATGTCAGTTTATATCCTTTTTCCTTATTTGCTGCTTTAGTTTGACGGATTTGGGTCTTCCGGCTCATGTATATCTTGAATGTGAATATAACATGTTAAATGATAAGAATAATACATTTTCCCCAGCCATAAATTTTGTCTTGGATCTAATTGCACTCATGATTTTTTCCAGATACCAAGAGTAGTAGCAAAAGCAAGAGATGCTGAAGGAGGAGCAGGTGTGGCAGCTGTCAGGGTTATCAGCAGCTCTTTCTAATGCATTTATTGCCTGTGTGCTTCTCACAGACACATTTCTTATCCCCAGGGAGTGAGTCTGAATCTCCAACTTCCCACATGTTCCTCAGCAACGGCGCAGCTGTTTAGTGAAGTGATCTCTTGTGCCACAGACCTAATATCTCGTCGCTTGTGGTGTGTTCTTGGTTGCTGGTGCCACTAAGTTTGTGTAGCACCAATGGTTGTTAGTGCCACAAAGTTAGTACCAGGGCATTGGTGTCATGCCACTATTGCCACAAACACAACTTTACTTATTATTTTGTGACACAGAGACTTCCTACATGATATGGCTGAGTGATGGACAGCTTGTTGGATCTTGTCATCCTGTGAATCATTCCTCTATGAGTGTAATGCTTAAACCCACTCCCCAACTGTGGTATCAGTGTCTGGCTTAGATTCTTTTGGAACTTAACTTTCGAAGTTGTGCCTCAAAAACATAAATATTTTGGTAAAGATATGGATTTTTCCAAGTGGATTTACTGCTCTCAAGTCAGTTTTGATTTCAGATACAATTTCCTCCCCCCAAGAGAAGCTGACTGATAACAGAAAAACTTTTTAATGTTTGGAAGGTCAAGCTTTATTCTATAAGAAATATTATTTTGAACACATTTGGTGACAGCAGCTGGATCTGTATCAGTTATCCCTGAAAAACTGTTCACTGTTAACATATGTTTTTTAGCTTTGAAAATAACAAGACCAAAGACAAGAATCATGATAAGCATGCCTTGCTATTTTCTCCTGGAAAAGGTGGTGGTCACTCTAGAGTATGAATCACAGTAGGATCCATAAGATGCCAGAATGCTCACCTTGAGTTCTTACATGCTTGGCTGACTCAATCATCGATTCATCAAAATCAACTCCATCATCCATTATTTGTGTACCAGCTCTACAAGACACCATTGTAAATACAACATCCTTCCTCTTTTGGAGTAACCTTGTTCGTCCACAGGGTTGAATTTTGTGTGATGAAACCTATCAGGTGTAGTGAGATGCTTGGTAGAAAGAATGGTTTTTCTCCTTGTGTCGTGAAGGAATTTGTGTCCAAACCTTCACTGATGAATCTGAAATGTGGAGTTAATGTAGTCTTTTCCTTATTTGCTACAATCTGTTTTTTGTTTTAAATATCTTGTTTTCTTCAACTTTTTATTTTCATGTCCAAGATTTTGATGTTAAGAGCAAGAGGGATAAATCGCTGTTCTGATGTTGCCAATACTACTGGTGTTATACAAAGTCATCTGGCTATTCATCTCATTTGTGACATGATATATTCTCTCAAGAATGATAGAGTATAATGTTTAAAAAGCGTGAACATTGTCACTTTAATGGAATGTAGAATATGATGCTCATTGAGGATTAAAACATTTTTCTTATATGTGTCCATGTTGCTGATAACACTGCATGACAAGATTATTTATTTTTTATTGTCTTATTTTTATTATTATTTATTGTTTGTTGTCATGTAATTCTTCAACCATTTTGTAAATATATTGTTTAATCTTTGAGAAAGGTAGTGGTTTTTGATACAGTCCCATATTTCATTACTAATTTGCAATTCATAGGACAAAAAGCAAATAACATTTAAAAAAAAACAGACTCATTGGAATATCTAGCTTGCCCCACCCTAGTCTCTCTCTGATCTTGTTATATTCTTATGTGATCCGCGCATACATAATCGGATCAAGCCTAACCTAAATCTCACTTAGGTAATCTTTATCTAATTTACTTCATCTTGGTAGAACGTCACCCAGTTTTAATGTATACTTTTGTTTTTATTATACCTTGCCTCAACTAGGTGGAATGAAGTTACACAAAGATATTTCAAATATAGTCCTTGAATAAAAACCTGACCAATTCAAACTTGAAATCCTCTTCTCAGTCCCACCCATCAGACCTTAACTTAACTAGAACTATTTCCATGTGTCCTCTGGATAGCAAACTAGCATTGGAACATGGCTTTGAACCATGAACTACTCTGTTTAGCTCATTGGCACTGGGTACTTACACTGTCCACTGCAGTCTTGTTTTGTCAGTTTTGTTTACACACGGATGGCTTCAACAAGTGCTTAGTTACCACGGTCAGCTGTTAGGACTAGACCTCAGCTCTGTCCCTCATTACTTGAATTTTTCTAAAAAAAAAAAAGCTTTAATTCTAATACTATTGTTATAAACACTTTAATGATAGTAATAATGATGATTGGGAGGATAGTAAAGATATTGATAATAATAATGTTATTAACAATAATGATAGTAATGAAAGTAAAAACTTTCTTTACGAAAAATCAGGAAGTGCGGTACATAGGTGAGATCTTGTAGGCCTTGTAGTTGATTCCTTGTACACTAAATACTTCTGGAGCTTTCTATGTCTAAAATAATGAGATAAAATCACAGTGGCTAGTTTATGTATACTTGCACTTCCAGCAACAGTGGGTTGAATGAGAGAGAGAAAAAAAATTTACTTTTTACATGAATTAACATGACAATCAAGTCATTATGATATTTATTGACAGGGAAGTTAGATGTCTTGCCAATCACATACTGTGTCATAGGAATTTCATTAAAAAAAAAGGAGAGAGAGAGACTTGTTATCAGTAGGGACTTTAGTAAGGAAAAAATTAGATGTTTGGGTCCTCCCCAAGTCAGCAGACATGGTACATAAGTCTGTCTTCTCCTTTACCCCTTTCTTACTGGGGCCATTGAAATAAACCAAATGTATTATGATTATTGCGAGTGCTTGACTAACAAATGCAAAATGCATATTATTGTCATGTGTGAAAGATAGCAAGATAACTTCTGACAGTTTGGGTTATTGATTTCTACTTTTTCTTATTTATTATTATTATTTTCATTTTATTTTTTCAGTTTTGCTATGTGATGTATACCCAAATCAAATGATTATTTATAAAGATGATTAAAAGGTATAGGGATGGCAGAACATGAGTAAGGTAATGGAAGTGTCTTACCCTAATTTGATGTTCCAAAAAAAGAGGTCAATTTTTATCACATCATTATCATCATTTTGTTAAAAAAGCAGTTCTTCAAGGAATATGTAGTGTTAAATATGTGCATAAGGAATGATTCAAGAAAAGAGGAGAGTACAACTTATGTCGAGTCTACCATAAATGAACTTTTTATTGACTCATTATTGATATGAGATATTTATTTCATTACTAATGCGATAACATTTTCTTTAGAATCAGTCTTCTCAGGTGTACTGGAAATGTCAATAAAGTCTAAGGAACACTCATAGTTCATATTGTCCTAGCAAGTGAGTGAGTGAGGAATGAGAGTGATTGAGCAATTGATTGAGTGAGGGAGAGAGAGAGAGAGAGAGTCAGAGAGTGTGGGAGTGAGAGAGTCAGAGAGTGAGTGAGAGAGTGTGAGGGTGAGAGTGAGAGTGAGAGAGAGAGAGAGAGAGAGAAAGTTTTGTTACTATCTTAATAGTATGAGTTGAAACAGTTGTCTTTAGTATCAGTAGCAGTTGTGATGGTTATGATTTCAAGCTATAGTGATATTATAGGAACAGTTATAGTATAGTGCTTTTCTGTTTATAGATTTGTTTGTTTCTTTTTTAAAGATGATCATTTTTCTGCCAAATTGTTTAGAGCATACTGTTTCAAACATGGATAGGTTATAAGAAGCCTTGAATATGATAACTATGCCTTTTATATTTCATTTTTACCATTATTTTTCTCATGTACTGAATATTTTGTTGTGCTTCATTCCTGAGAGTTGTCACTGGGGCATTCATTTTTTGATCTGTAAGTTACATATCAGATGAATTATGGTTCAAGATGACTTATGATTACAAGAACAATTGCCATGTTGACACCACTATAGAAGCGAGCTTATTGAGGCTTCACTCAGCTTTTGGCGTGTGTTTTTGAAGCTGATATTGGGAAAATGTATGTGTTTGATTTTGAGTAGATGGAGAAAAAGAAGAAACAAAGAAAAAGAGAAAAGAAACAAACAATGATTTCTTATTTATTTAAGTTTATTATGTTGGCCATTTTGTATCTGCTTATGTCTTCCCTCTTCCTAGCCTTTTTTTTTTTTTTTTTTTTTTTTTTTTTTTTTTTTTTACTTGTTCTTATAGAAAAAAAATCAAGACCATATTTCTAAACAAGTGAAAAAGGTGGTCAAGATACTGAAATGTTTTATGAAAGGTATAATTTTAGGTTTGAACAGACTAGAACCTGTTCATGTGATTTTTTCTCTCTCTCACTTTTTTTTTTTCAAGGTTATATACCTCGTAATCTCATTCTGTGTCAGGTCTAGATATTTTGTACCATTTTTATTTTATTCTATTTATTTTCATTTTGTATTTTATAGTACACAACTGAAAGAAAGGATTTTCATTGCAAATGCTTGTTAAGTAAATTGGCATAGGGTCGTCTGATTCTCCAGTCTTTGTAGTTAACAGATGACTGAATGTGAAATCACTTGATGTTTTTCATCTCCTACTTTCATTGATGCATGAAATTGTACTGTAATTTATTCGTCTGTGTGGTATTACGGAAAAAAATTGTATTGCAAAAAAAAAAAAAAGAAAATGAGAAAAAAAAAGATATTGAAGGACTTGTTTGTATGGTGTGTTTGAATGGATTGCTCATATGTTAAATACCATTCTAATGATAAGGAAGATAGCAGAGTTAACTGTAGTAGGACCTGATTCACTGAATTCTGTGCTTTCTTTTATGATAGACTTTTTCATCGGTGTGAAAGCTAGAAATTTGGAACTGATGATCGTGAAGCACACTTGGAAAAGAAGTAAACTCTGTGACAATGGCATTGACAGAAAAACTTTTCAGTGTTATTTGCCAGTTTTGGTTTTCAAGCAGGAAAATGTGTTCATTGGATCTGTAAGCATATAAATCCTATTGACTCTGTAGCAAGGCAACACAGATGTATTGTTGAGTGCATGGTTACATCACTAGCAAGGCTGGTGGCAGGCCCCACCGTGTTTGTTGTTTTTATTAGTTAATTTAGCTTTTTTTCAAGACTCAAAAAATAGCATTAGATTGTTTTAAGCAATATACATTCATCTCTGTCATCAAATGAAGTGTTATTCTGTTAGTCCAGATGTTGATGTGAATTGTATGATTAATTGCAGATGAATTTATTAAAAGAATATATACATAAATATATACACACACAAAGCCTCCCTCCCCTCAGGAAGAAAACAAAAATATCTTGACATTGTAAATTTAGTATTTTCAATATATATTGAATAGATAAAATCCACACACTATGTGAATATAAGGTATATTGTGGCTTTTAGATCTGCCACTTCATTTAGATAAACTTTAATTGACCTTTAAGATATTCATAGATTTTTTCCATGCCATCCTCAGTTTAAACATTGGAATATGAAATGGGTCTTTATTTTCAAAGTGAGCTTCATGTGGCATGTAATTGTAAATAGGATATATTTGTTTAGGTACTAAGAAAAAGAAAGACAAAAACAAACAAAAAAAGAAGTCAGAGATTGTAAAAAGTACTTAAATGAAGACTGAAGATAGGGAGTTACATCACTAAGATTTTTTCCTTCATGTTTGTGCTGTGTTTTTTCATTTTTCTTTTTTTCTTTTTTTTCTTTTTTACACATGGGCCATTTAATTTTACATTTTTTGTTTTCTGTGCTACTATATTGAGCATCAGATGTGTTTTTGTCTACTGGTATTCGTAGGAAATGTTCTGTGTTACTGTAATCATTTTTTAAAGAAATGATAAATGAACAGCCCAGTGTATGTAAATTTAGGTTTAAGTATGATTCAAGATGACAGTTGTGTATTTATTTATTCTTTTTATGTAATTTTAGCTAAAGAAGAATTGCATTTCTTCTACTTAACACATTCTGAACAATTTAAGAAAATCAAAGGAAACAAGTAGAAATAAGACTGGACTTCTCATACCTGTTCAGAGCAGAAAATGTTTGTGTATAAATAGGCTACAATCCAATTTTTTTTTCTTGTCATGAGAATAAGACCGGTGGCTTTTTTGAAGTTTTCTTAAAGCGATAACTGAAACTGAGGCAATAGATTCTTTTCATGTACTTGCAGGTTTGCAGACTTATGGTATGACTGTTCTTGTATTTCATTTTTGTAATAAGAATTTTAAAAATAAGAAAAAAAAACATTGATGGCAAGTTTTAAGAAATGAAAGTTTGGCATTCTGCTTCTTGGATCCCCCTCCTCAAAGAGATGGCGAGAGAGTCACCTTGGGATTCCAGTGCTGCAATGACATACTACCTAGATTATCATCGTTTCTGACTGCAGGGTTCAGTCATTTGTGTGCAATTATTTTCTATTATCTTTTAAACCTAAATGTACGAGATGTTTGTTACAGCTACAGTTACATGGGACAGAAGAGAATAGTAGTTTGATGATGATAAGGTTTGTCTCCTGTATGTGGATCAATAGGGTTCGCATAACTGAGCTTTGGATCGCCATATTTTGTTGTAGCAGTACAAAGAAACGTTTAAAGCAGTACACTTTATTTGAGCTACTCTCGTATATAAATATATATACATTATATATATATATATTTTCAGGAACTGAGATACACTTGATTTGTGTAACTTTAGCTCAAGTATGATCTGTTAACATGCCATAACTCCATATATTTGTACATGATAGACCACCATGTGCGTTTTTTCCCTTTAGTTTTCATATGATTAAGATTTTAGATACTATATCTCCGATGCTGCCAGATGGCCAATGATCACATTTTTACTTCATTGCACCTTATATAGATATTATTTCAAAAATCTTAAGGACCATAGTCAGCCTTACAGAAGAACCAGAAAAAATGATGAAATTTTATATCTTTTTACTTTCTTTCAGTAATTTAATTTCTCTGCACTAAAGAAAAAAAACATACAAAGTGAAATGCAGTAGCTGCGAGGTTAATTGTAGAAAGCCAATATGTTTCTTATTCTTTCATTCCTCCTTTCTATTTATTCCATTTCATTTCATCTTTGCTCTACAATGATAAAAAAAATCATAACCTGCTTTATGTTGTCTTATAGATTTACACCATCATGAGTGTCGAAATTGGTTCACTAAAAAATGTTGAATGATTTTATAGATCACCTTTTTTCTTTTTCTTTTTTTTCCCCCCTTTTCTCTATTTTGGAAATGCATTTTTCAGGACACTTATCTGTGTTTAACCTCAAGTGCAGTAAGAGCAACGAATTCTTCCCATTATACTGATTGTAAATATGTCCATGAAGAGTAGTGTTACAGGAGGCATGAATATGAATATGTTGATATATAATAGGTTAACCTTTTTTGGTGTTCCTAACTAAATGATTATATGCCTTATTACAAAAATAACAATAAAAAAAAAAAATCTTGTATATCGTCTTGTCATTACCGGGTCACTTCCATATGTCATGATACGGCAGTTGTTTTTATTTTTTTTTATTTATCTTTTTATTTATTTGGTTATTAATATCATTTTTATTTTTTATTTATTTTTTTCCTCCAATGAATAGAAGAGTGATTGATAATGTCACAACAATTGGTCCCGGCTATTATTTGTCTTCATCTTCTTCATTCTTTCTTCATGTCTCTAGTCTAATCCTCTCTCTTTCCTTTTCTCTCTCTCTCTTCCTCCCTCTCTCTCTCTCTCTTCCTTTTTTTTTTCTTTTTTTCTTTTTTTCTTTTTTTTACTCTCTTAAAGATCTGTCTCTCTCTTCTGTACTGAGTTGTTGAAGTGCAATGTGGATCATTAGTTGATATCGTTTCATTCTTCTGTGTGTGTATGTCACCTCCAGAACATCAATATTTTGCTGTTACAGGTTACCTGGCACAAGACTAAAGCTTTTTAGAAAATGTTTGCCTTATATAGTGAATATGATGTGTCTCATTTTTTTATATGGAATGTAATGTTAGTGAAGAAATTCAAATCTGTCTTGAATATAAGAAGGTAATTTTCTCACACCATTGTAATGGTTGGTAGTTTTGTATGAAAATACAGTTATGATATATTAAATTGCAGCTTTGATTTTCCTGGCATTGGAGTGTTTGATGGATGGAAATTAAAAGAACATGTTGATCCTTTGGGAATTACATGTGGTATTTGGGAAAATTGAAAACAATTTTCACCTACGGTATTTTCATAATTTATTTCACAGAATATATTAACTGTTTCAGTGAAGAATTTGTTTAGATGGATAATTTGATGTTCAGTATGTTAAAAGCACCATTTTTAAGTTTGTTTAAAAGTTTCCCAGTACT